TGGGTTCGATCCCACCTTTTGCCAAACTTTTTTTTTCTCCCTTTTCAAATCTCGTATCACATCGTAAAGGCATTTATTTTCAATAAAAATTAAGGAAATAATCAAAAGGTTGAAATTAAAGTATCGGGTAGGGTTAGGCTAAGGTGTAGGGAGGGCTTTATTGTACCAATAAGGTGGCATCCATTTAATTAAAATTAAATTATAATTTGCACTCAATACGTTATTATTGCATATGGTTTTATAATGTACTACAATACTGAAGTGCAGATAATTGCCACTATTTGCAGCAAGTAGTATACTTGATAGTAGAAATCCTGCTATTTTAAGTGTAAATAGGTATTTGCACTGTGTAAATAGCATATTGCTAAAAATACTGCTATTTTCACTTAGTGTAAATGGAATCCATTGCTAATACGAGATTTGAAAAGGGAGGCTGTTCTTCGGCTGGTTTTTCCTGTATACGTTGATTGACAGATGTCTCGTCCAGTCAGCAGTGAGTAATCCCAAACCAATGGCGCTGTCTCAAACTATGCCTACCTCTTCCGGTTTGTCTGATTTGTCGTTGTGTTTTCTGACTTGTTATAATGTTTTCTGAATTGTTGTTGGGTTTTCTGAATTATTTTGTTTTTTAGACTTGCATTTGCGTTTGTAATTTATTTAGTTTTCAGAATTGTGATTTGTTTTGCTCTTCTCAGCCACCGTACAATTCCCTCTCTCTCTGCGTGTGTGTGAAACAAAGCGATGGCGAGTCGTACGCTTTCACACTAGAGTTTACGGTACATTAAATACAGGTGCATTGCACATCCATTCAGATGAACTGAAAAACCGCACATATCGTTTGACTGAGAGTGAAACTCTGAAGCTCTCAGTCGGAGTGTTCTGTGAGTGAAAATTATATCTGTGCTAAACTTATACTTGGCCTCCAACTCACACACTGGCGAGTAAATCAATTGGCTAATATTAGACATAATTTAGTCGCCCAGAGTGAAGATTTAGTCACATATCCAAGTGATTTACTCGCAATGTAGAGGGTTGATTTTACTGTATCATTCTGCACATGTTTCACTACCCACTTCATATTATTCTTTAAGAGCTGTGTTAGTCTTTGACGTCAATTTCTGCATCAAATGAGTGGTCTTTCAGGACTCAAGGCTGCATGGCTGTAACAGTAGCCTCAGTGTTTATAATCTTGTCTTTTCCTCACAGTCCTGTACTGGGTGTAGGGGAGTAGTCTGCCAAGTAGATATTTCACTGAGGTGTGGTGTGCATGTTTTCAATTAAATGTGACCGTGCTTTGTGGAACTTTTATTTACAAAGTAGAAATGTGTTTTTTGGTGCTCTACATACTAGGGGTAAAGCAAATAAGGGTTAGTGGGGAAATCCTCTTAGCTTTAGAGCTCATTCAACTCGATGGCTTAGAATTAGCCCTTGGCCAAGGTAACAGACGGGCAACTTTGACCTTCCACAAAATGGTTCACTCGCATTAAAATTGCTTCTGCTGATAGTGTTCTCTTACATAGTTTAGAACACGTTACTGTTTTATGAAATGGTTATTTTCAGATAATATTACTTATTTTTTCCCCCTTTCTTTAAAGTCGTGGTTAAACCAAAGTAGCAAAAGTTTTCTCTATTGTGACGCATTTAAATGAAATGGGTTACTGTAAAAGGAAAAAAATAAAGTGGGATGGGGTCTTTGGTCTATTGGTTCTTGGTTGGATGGTGACAGAATTTAAGAAATGGGGTTTAAGCGGATAAAATGTTTGGAGAAGTCCGGCAGACGTCAGCACAGCAGAGAGAAGTCTGTAACTTCATCACATTATGAATTTATTTAAAACCAATAAAATTTAAACTTGTATGAATTATTCCCGATAAGATCAGAAACCTGCATATGGGGAATTTGTTTTTTTTAAATAATTGTGAAAAGGTTTCGGTTCCACCCATGTTGATAAATGGATAGTCTTAACTGCCAGTGTTGTTTTGTTTTATCTCAGTGTTTTGTGTATCTGTGAAATTATGACAGTTCCTTTATGCAGTAATCATGTGCTATCTACTCTCTTAGTGGCACACTCGGACTCCGTGTAAACGTGTGATTTTGACCATGAGCTCAGTCGCTGTACTTACGCAAGAAAGCTTTAATGAGCATCGCAGTGGCCTTCTGCCGGAGCAGGTCAAAGGTATGTGGCAGTTTTGACCACTTCTGACTTACCGGTAACTGTTCTCTGGCAAAGTGATTGTTGAATTTTGTACCTCTTTTCCCTTTAGCTGCTGTGGCAGGCCCTAGTGGTGCTGAAGATGAGGATAGCCTTCCCACCTACAAGGATGCCTTTCCCCCTCTGCCTGAAAAGCCTTTGCCAGAGGGGGTACAGGAGACTGGAAATGCCTGGACGTCTAAGATCAAACCTCTCAAGTCCTCAGCAATTACCCAGGTACAGAGATTAAGCTAGTTACAGTCACTATCTTACCTGGGGAATATTGATTCAAGTGTTTGACAGGTTTCCACTTTGATAAATACAGGTTTTCCATGTGCCTCTGGAAGAGCGCAAGTACAAGGACATTAACCAGTTTGGAGAAGGAGACCAGGCTAAAGTATGTCTTGATATTATGCACAAGACTGGAGCCCACCTGGAACTCTCCATGGCTAAAGATCAAGGCCTCTCCATAATGGTCTCTGGGAAGCATGACGCAGTCATGAAAGCCCGTAAAGAGATTGTGTCCCGACTGCAGACTCAGGTAATATTAATTACATTTTAATTAATTAAATCTATCAGTACTTGTATGCTTTCAACATGGTATGTATTGGGTAACTTGCAGGAAGGCACAAGATGTTGGTATTATTTTTTTAACAGATTTAAAGTCAATTGTTAAAACAAATTTAATGAAATTGCTAAAGATATTCTTTAGCTAATCTCAAAATGGACATCAATTACAATTGAAAACACTTTAGTTTTAATTTTTTTAAATGTAGATAAAATAGTATAGATTTTTAATATTAATATTTATTGCTAGTGGTCCTAAAAATACCTTGAAAATGCTTATCGGCTTGTCTGTATCAGCCAGAATTATATTATTTATGAATCACTAGTATCTTTTGTTGTTACTTGACTACAGGCTTCAGCTACTGTGGCCATCCCCAAAGAACATCATCGCTTTGTCATCGGTAAGAGTGGGGAGAAGCTGCAGGAGCTAGAGCTGAAGACTGCCACCAAGATCCAGATCCCTAGACCCGAAGACCCCAGTAACCTCATCAAGATCTCTGGAACCAAGGAAGGCTTGGAGAAGGCCAAGCACGAGATCCTGCTCATCTCTGCTGAGCAGGTCTGGAGCATAATTTCAATTTAGGCTTTTGTTTTCTTGCTAATCACGGTTACGAATCTGATTATGTGAGATAGTGCTAATTATTTATTTACTGATTTAATTTGAGTAATAATCAAACCTAGTAAATGATAATTTCATTAATTCATTGCAGGATAAGCGTGCTGTGGAGAGAATGAACATTGAAAAGGTGTATCACCCCTTCATCACTGGAGCTTATAGCAAGCTGGTGGGGGAGTTGATGCAGGAGACAGGAGCCCGTATTAATGTCCCCCCACCAAGTGTGAACAAAACTGAGATCGTCATCACTGGGGAGAAAGAGCAGGTGGCCCTGGCCATGGTCAAGATCAAGAAGATTTATGAGGAGAAGGTAAGCAATTACAGAATAATTAATGGACTTTTGTTGACTTTTCCAAAATCCACAGTATGCTTCTGAAACTCACTGGGCCGAATTTCCATGTGAACGAAGTAATGATAGACCTGAAAGCGACCGAGGGGAATGTTTTAAATGTGGCCTTTTGCTCATTTCAGAAGAAGAATGCCACCACTATTGCAGTGGAGGTGAAGAAATCTCAGCACAAGTATGTAATTGGGCCTAAGGGTAACACCCTGCAAGAGATCCTGGACAGGACCGGCGTCTCGGTCGAGATCCCACCCCTCGACAGCATTGTTACTTGACTACAGGCTTCAGCTACTGTGGCCATCCCCAAAGAACATCATCGCTTTGTCATTGGCAAGAGTGGGGAGAAGCTGCAGGAGCTAGAGCTGAAGACTGCCACCAAGATCCAGATCCCTAGACCCGAAGACCCCAGTAACCTCATCAAGATCTCTGGAACCAAGGAAGGCTTGGAGAAGGCCAAGCACGAGATCCTGCTCATCTCTGCTGAGCAGGTCTGGAGCATAATTTCAATTTAGGCTTTTGTTTTCTTGCTAATCACAGTTACGAATCTGATTATGTGAGATAGTGCTAATTATTTATTTACTGATTTAATTTGAGTAATAATCAAACCTAGTAAATGATAATTTAATTAATTCATTGCAGGATAAGCGTGCTGTGGAGAGAATGAACATTGAAAAGGTGTATCACCCCTTCATCACTGGAGCTTATAGCAAGCTGGTGGGGGAGTTGATGCAGGAGACAGGAGCCCGTATTAATGTCCCCCCACCAAGTGTGAACAAAACTGAGATCGTCATCACTGGGGAGAAAGAGCAGGTGGCCCTGGCCATGGTCAAGATCAAGAAGATTTATGAGGAGAAGGTAAGCAATTACAGAATAATTAATGGACTTTTGTTGACTTTTCCAAAATCCACAGTATGCTTCTGAAACTCACTGGGCCGAATTTCCATGTGAACGAAGTAATGATAGACCTGAAAGCGACCGAGGGGAATGTTTTAAATGTGGCCTTTTGCTCATTTCAGAAGAAGAATGCCACCACTATTGCAGTGGAGGTGAAGAAATCTCAGCACAAGTATGTAATTGGGCCTAAGGGTAACACCCTGCAAGAGATCCTGGACAGGACCGGCGTCTCGGTCGAGATCCCACCCCTCGACAGCAGCTCAGAGACAGTAATCCTGCGTGGGGAGCCAGACCGGCTGGGCCAGGCACTCACTGAAGTGTATGCCAAGGTAAACAAGCTCGTTTTCCTCCCCCCTGCATGTTTCTGTACAAGAATTCCTTCAATCAAGCTCTCTTTTGCACGCTTCTCTTTTAGCTTTAATTTAGGAAATGTATTGAAAATGTTACTGCAGAAATGCTATAAATTTTACTGTATAACCTTTGACCCTTACTTTCTTTGTACAGGCCAACAGCTACACGGTGTCCTCAGTCTCTGCTCCCTCTTGGCTTCATCGTTTCATTATTGGCAAGAAAGGACAAAATCTGGCAAAGATCACGCAGCAAATGCCCAAGGCGAGTCAACTTTCCGCTAATGTCGGAGTGCTAAGCCAGATTTCTCTATTGTCTTGCTCAATGAAGGGAATGTGTAGATGTGGCTTATGTTCAGCAGATGTTTTTGACCAGAGTAACATGTCAAAGTGACAGTACAAATGTTGCAGTAGTTGCGTCAACCAGCACAGGTAGTTCAGAATGACAATGGCCTCTAGCCAAGAAGAAACGCCCAAGATTTACAAATACATTAGTGTGTTTTTTGTATTTTTTTGTATTAGTCTACTAAAATGACACACAGCCAGGATGCTACTGTATACACCCTCATGTTGTTCCAAACCCATACATCATCTGTTCGTTCTTGAAACAAATATATTTAATCTGTATTGTAATCTATAATATGTATCTGTTCCTCTATTGAAAGAACACCAATATTGATGCTTCAAAAAGTTCATAAAGACATAGTAAAAGTAATCCATATGAATCATTTAATCGGCATGTTTTATATGTTTGAACCGGTTTAATTTAGGCTTTTATTCATGTTAACCTTGATTAATGCAGAGTGCATCAAATTAATAAAAAATAATTGAAGCTCAACCGTATTTGATTGAGAACAAACCTTAGTGGTTTGTGCATCAAGAAAGTACACAATCTTTCATTAACAATATGAATGTTGATTTTGTTAAATATAAGAAATGCTTAAATGAAATTTGTTTATCCTATAAAGTGTCTTTTTTAGAAGACTTCAGTGGTGTGATTCAAATGGATTACTCTTAAAATTGTCTATGAACTTCTTGAAGCATCAAAGTTTTGCTGGAATAGACCATCAATGGAGGGGCAGAAATATCTTGTGTTTTATTAAAACATCTCCATTTGTTTCAAAGATGAATGGAATACTTATAGGTTTGGAATGACATGAAGCTAAGTAAATGACTAAATGTTCATTTTTTGGGTGAACTGACCCTTTGAAATATGAGGCCAGTAAGACAGTGCTCTGTGATTATCAACAGGTGCACATTGAGTTCACTGAGGGAGAGGACAAGATCACGCTGGAGGGTCCCACCAAAGATGTACAGATAGTACAGGGTCAAATTGAAGCCGTTGTTACAGATCTGGTAAGACTTTAACTTCCCTATTATTTGACAAATGCTTCCACTTGCTTTGTTATATTTTGGCGTATATAGGCCTCTATGTCCTAAACAATTTAGTTGATTTTTCATGTATTCTTTATAGGTTAGCCGAATGGACTACACTGAGATTAGTGTAGACCCCAAGTTCCACCGACACTTAATTGGGAAAGGTGGCGCAAACAGTGAGTACAGCTGTTTTGATGTTTATAGCAGATATTATGTGAACACACTAATGTGTCATTCATAAACCCATGTTTTTTTTTTCCATCCACATCTAGTTAACCGCATAAAGGAGCACCACAAAGTGTCAGTCCGCATTCCACCTGACAACGAGAAGAGTAACCTGATCCGTATCGAGGGTGACCCCCAGGGAGTGCAGGAGGCCAAGAAGGAGCTGCTGGAGCTAGCGTCACGCATGGCAAGTTGGATAGATTCATAATTGAATAAAGAAGGCTCTGTTTACCATTCTCTCTTCACAATGTTCTTTAGGTTAGGTTTTACTAGTTATGTGCGTGTATCGTTTGCTTTTGTCTTAAATGATTTACTTGTTTACTGTCTGCAGTAAACTTGTTTGCGTAATAATTAAATTGGAGTCAGATGCATGTGTAGCTTGTGGCAAAATAAACATCCGTAGTCTCTACAGCCTCAGTATAAAGTCCTCTGGGTTATTTGCCTGGCAGCTCTTGACTGAAAGTCTCTAAGAATGTCATGATTTTAAAAGGAGAATGAGCGTACAAAGGACATGATCATTGAACAGCGTTTTCATCGAGCCATCATCGGACAGAAAGGGGAGAAAGTTAAGGAAATTCGGGATAAGTTCCCTGAGGTAAATGTTTTAAAATACATGGAATATTTTTCAAATAGCACATTTCTGTGTCTTACAGTGGAGAGAACCTTTTTCCCCATTTGCTTTCAGGTCATCATCAACTTCCCTGACCCAATGCAGAAAAGTGACATTGTACAACTACGTGGACCTCGCACTGAGGTGGAAAAATGCACGAAGTTTATGCAGAAAGTGGTGGCTGAAATGGTACACTTTATTTATTTTATTTATTTATTTTGAAATTTCCTGAATTTTCTATCGCCAAGTCACAATTCTACTCAATAATTGCTGATGTTGGGAATAGGGCTGGGTATTAGGGCTGTGCGATATTGGAAAAAAAAAAATATACGCAATACCTTGTTAAAAAAAATTAGAAATGCGATACGATATTGCTTGAGGAGTTGAAAAATCTATTTAAATTGTTTTAAAATATTTAAATGAAAATTATATAACCAATTTGTTTCACATTCTTTCTTGGAAAAGAAAGAATCACTACAACTTCTGAAAGTGACCAGCAGTGTTTTAGCAGTACATAAAAGGTAATGTCACAAATCAATTTTAACATCAATGTGAATGACAAAAAAATTAATGACACATTTTATATCATTGTAACTTTGCTTTCCATACACTTTAAGTACTACTTCATATACCACAGCACAAACGATAGTCTGAGAAAGTTCAAACATGATTAAAGGCAAGTGAACAGTTAGTAAAAAAAGAAAGAAAAAGGGGGGAAAAAGAACTACACAATTTACAAGCATAGATAAAATAAATAGTATTCAGGTACAGAAATGTAATAATTAAGTGTAAAATAACACTGCATTGTGTTCACTGTGTGAATTAAATTTAGATTAATCTTTGTCATAGCTGTTTTGTTGTTTGATTAACATTAGTGACATATTCAGCAGCACGTATTTATAGGCTGCTGTGCCTTTAAATCTGACTGCACGGATCCAGTATAATGATACACATCTGATTTCTTTGTCAGCCGTTTACATTCATTTAAAACATAACTGACTGCGTTTACAAGAATGATCGTCGAGACGGGTACTATTGACATAATTCTGTGTGTATGTGTCTGTTCAAACATGAGGAGGAGATGCGAAAGGCAAATCAACTCGTTCGCACGTCCTCTGAAACACGTCTCTCTCTCTCTCTCTCTCTCTCGGTGTGTGTGTGTGTGTGTGTCTTGTGTGCGCGGGCTTTGTCTGTGTAAAAAAAATGAAAGAAAAAGAAAAAAAAGAAATACACAATTTACAAGCATAGATAAAATAAATAGTATTCAGGTACAGAAATGTAATAATTAAGTGTAAAATAACACTGCATTGTTCACTGTGTGAATTAAATTTAGATTAATCTTTGTTATAGCTGTTTTGTTGTTTGATTAACATTAGTGACATATTCAGCAGCACGTATTTATAGGCTGCTGTGCCTTTAAATCTGACTGCACGGATCCAGTATAATGATACACATCTGATTTCTTTGTCAGCCGTTTACATTCATTTAAAACATAACTGACTGCGTTTACAAGAATGATCGTCGAGACGGGTACTATTGACATAATTCTGTGTGTATGTGTCTGTTCAAACATGAGGAGATGCGAAAGGCAAATCAACTCGTTCGCGCGTCCTCTGAAACGCGTCTCTCTCTCTCTCTCTCTCTCTCGGTGTGTGTGTGTGTGTGTGTCTTGTGTGCGCGTGCTTTGCACGTGTGCGGCAGAACTGAAGAGACTGTGAGATGCGGCTTGTGCGCGCGCTTCAGGTGTGAGTCAGATTCACTGTATGAATTCAATTTAGATTCATCTTTGTTATAGCCGTTTTGTTAACATTAGTGACATATTCACACTGTGTGTGTGCGCGCTTCAGGTGTGAGTCAGACAGCAAGACGAGACTGCAAAGAGTTGTTTTCTGCAACTTATTGCACAACTCTAAAACTATTAAACTCAAACTATTTTATGCTTCTTGACATTTTTTACAGACTCAGACTCGATCTCCCGAGCCACTGCACAAAGGAACAAAATGTAACCAACACAATAAATCAGTGCAGATGCGAAAGGCAAATCAACTCGTTCGCGCGTCCTCTGAAACGCGTCTCTCTCTCTCTCTCTCTCTCTCGGTGTGTGTGTGTGTGTGTGTCTTGTGTGCGCGTGCTTTGCACGTGTGCGGCAGAACTGAAGAGACTGTGAGATGCGGCTTGTGCGCGCGCTTCAGGTGTGAGTCAGACAGCAAGACGAGACTGCAAAGAGTTGTTTTCTGCAACTTATTGCACAACTCTAAAACTATTAAACTCAAACTATTTTATGCTTCTTGACATTTTTTTCAGACTCGATCTCCTGAGCCACTGCACAAAGGAACAAAATGTAACCAACACAATAAATCAGTGCAAATAGTTTTCAGTTTCCACGTCTTTTAGGCTGTTTGTTTTAAAATGCATAGCTTAAAATCATTTTCCATTAATTTTCCACTGATTTACTGATGAGCATTAGCTGCTTCTAGCTCTGTTTGCCTGTGTTTTCTCTTCCGTGATCGCTGTTCTGACTCGGAGGAAGCTCATTCGCTGCTCATGTCAATCATATTACATGTTCATATCCCGCCCTGTCTCCTATAACGAACATCCATTACACTTACATGTTCAGTTCTGTACATAAGAAACCCATAAAAACATTTCTACGGATAAAACGCGAAGCTAATAATCACAATTACGACAGTATTTGATTTGTATGTGATTTTCATGAGATTTTGCCTATTTTCATATTAATACAGGGTGTTTACAGGAGAAATGCTAAGCAGGTGTAGCGATTATCTTGATATAAAAGGCTACAAGTAACATATTTCAGCAAGATTATATGGCCAAAACGCATTAGATTGCAATCAAGTTTATTGCAAACACTGGATGGTTGTTTAAAGTGAGTTTTGATTGAAAGCGTAGTATAAATCTTATAATTTGCCTTATTTCGCATGATGCTAAAGTGTGATACTACAGCATGAATGGTCACGTGAAGTGTTATAGTTCATGTAGTGTGGACCGATCTTTTCTGAAACCCAGTGGAAATGCCAGTATGTATGAGGCTTCACATCTTCAATCACTTTCATACAGAGTATTTGAGTTCTACCATTTAGATTTTTTTCTTAAATGCACCCTTTAAATAACTGTATATATTGTTTTACCTTTTTCAGGTTGATGTTCGGTTCCCTCAGAGTGGAGCTGCGAAGCCCAATTTAGTGACTGTGACTGGCCGTCCAGAACAGGTTGATGAAGCCATTGATCACCTTCTAAACCTGGAGGAGGAATATGTAAGATAATTCTATACTTCAGCAGAGGAAATTTAAATTAAATTTATAAATTTTAGAGTATTAAATTAGCAAAAAGGTAATTATTTTTGTTTTTCATGTTTACCCTCAGCTGTCTGATGTAGTTGAAAATGAAGCCAAAATGGCCTATATGAAGCCTTCTGGTTCCACTGCCTCCAGCATGGAAGAACCTCGAGGCCCATCCAAGGGCTTTGTTGTGCGGGAGGCTCCTTGGGCCACTGGCAATGAAAAGGTAAATTAATATGTAATCAGTCATGAGTTAATGAATGAAATTAAGTCACAGATTTATGCATAATTCTAATGTTGTAATTTAACCTCCTGTCTCGTGGTTGTTTTTTTTTTTTTTTTGGGTGTTAGGCCCCCGATATGAGCAGTTCTGAGGAATTCCCCAGTTTTGGTGCACCTGTGACTAATGCGAGATCATCTCCATGGGGACCCAAACGTTTTTGAAATGTCTCCTTCAGTGGTTATGTTGCAACCTCCTGTTTCCCCTTACTATAACCCCTCATTTGGATGTGGATGGACCACTTACCATAACCCCCCCACAATCAATACAGGTGATAAACATCGTTATTATGTGTGTGGCCTCTACCAGGTATGCCTGAATTGGTATGAAATGAGTCGACCTGTTTGCATTTTGAGAGAGAATTACAAATTGAAGGAAAACAAAAGTAGTCCTGGCCCTGAGCAAAGAAATTTACATCAAATTCTGGATTTAATCTGGTTTAAACCTGTATAGATTTTGTACAAGTGATAAATTAAATCTAAATGCACTTGTTATTAGTATAAATGCTACAGATTGGCATTTTATTGAATCTTTTATGCTCATTGACTCCTACATTAATCCAGATTTTTAATCGGTTACAATAAAGAATGGTTTTAATAAATATATGTTCTTGTATTATAAAACATATTGGCCAGTACGGGGATCGAACCCGCGACCTTGGCGTTATTAGCACCACGCTCTAACCAACTGAGCTAACCGGCCATGATTTAAAAAAAAGTACTTAATGCAATAAGAGGGTCTCCCTGGTCAGTTCAATTCCCCTATTTCTTGTCTGCCTTTCCACTGGCACGCAGCGGAGCGAGCGATTTCAATGAATTCCTATGGAAATTGAGTTTAAACGCTCGCGCGGTGTATTATGGGATTGAAAGCGGCGCGGAGAAAGCGTTGACAGCGGTTGAGAGCGTCAAAAAGATTGGGCATTCCTCGACTTTATGCAAACGTCGAGCGAAAAACGCCGGGCGACAACCAATCGCTGTGAAAGGAAGGAGAAGAAACCATAGACTGTAAAAAAACAACAGGGTGTTTTTCAGAGGCGTGCTCTGCACTAAATTTGACACGCCCCAAAGCAGTGGCGTTGTAGCGTTGCCAGCAGCGCCACTGAGCGCAGATTTGACGCTGTAGTGGACCAGACGCGACAAAATAGTGTAGCATGTTCAAAATGTTGTTGTATTGTAGATAACAATGTGCTTAATATTAATGTTGCACTTCATTCATTTTTGTGTTGCGAGCTGTTATTGGATGTTCGAGTTGGATGTGAAAAGAGGCTCCGCCCCTGTGTGGAGAAGAGTGCCGCTGGTTCCAGTGCGGTTCTCTTAAGTCGGGTGTGTACGGCGTGGGTTGTGGCCGACAACAGCCCAAATAAACACCCCTTGTACATCAAAACGCCTCGTCCTTGTCTGAGAACGCTACAATGCTATAGAACCCATTATAATCCGTGATGCTGTCTACACTGGATGCGGTGCGACCTGTTTTTATAGTCTATGGGCGCGACACGACAAACCCCCGACAGAAACTGCTGCCTCGTTCTATCTATGACGTACTGAAATTCTAATAATTTGCAGCGGGCGCTTTGTCGCGTCAGACTTTAGCTTTTGCAGCTTGGCGCAACAACTGTCGCATCCGGTGTAGACACGATGTTACAGTATTTTAGCTTATTATACTGTTATAGGGTTTCTTTAATAAATACTAAGAAAAGCAATGGCGGTATGGCTCGTTGGTCTAGGGGTATGATTCTCGCTTTGGGTGCGAGAGGTCCCGGGTTCAAATCCCGGACGAGCCCATATTTTTGAAGCTTTTAGGAAGAAACGAAGGAAGGTTCACGACTTTATTTTAGTGTGCACTTTAAGATTAGAAATAAGAGTAATAGTGAACCGTGGGACTGTTTTGCTGAATCAGATTAACAACGGCAAATCGTATCACTGCTCATGAGTTGGTGGTGTAGTGGTTAGCATAGCTTGCTTCCAGCGGGTGGTCAGCCGCACATAGGTGTAGAGCGCTGACTAGCCAATAGGAACGAAGGAAATTCCAGGGAGGCAGGACGAGTAAAATACACCCAATTGATAGTTTTCACGTGACTTCACACACTCATAGGAACGCCCACCTGGAGGGCAAAACATCTCGGTTACGTATGTAACCTTGGTTTCCTGAATCGGGGAACAAGATGCTGCGATGACGTCATTGCTTTTGGAACACCTCCGGTGTGATGAATGTCTGAAGCCCTTATACAATCACGCCAATTTATTGGCCAATAGCGCTTAGCACCGCCTCAAGTATGCTTATATATGCGTGCTGCGCGCTATTTCATCAGATTTTACACTATGACGAAGGAAGAGCTATCAAGGTACAGAACGGCCAAGCATCGCAGCATCTCGTTCCCCTATTCAGGGAACCAAGGTTACTTACGTAACCGAGATGTTCCCTCTCATAGGCTCACTTCGATGCTGCGATGACGTCATCGCTTTGGGAATGCTATACCATAACTCCTGATGTACCTTAGATAGCTGGAGACCAAGGAAACTGCCACAGCACAGACATCTCTCTTCAAAGGCCCTTAAAAAAGAACCTGAGAAGAAGCCATTGCTCTCGTAGAATGAGCACGCACCTCTAGAAGTGAAGTCAAACCACACGCCTCATAGGCTAGAGGTATAGTACTATATGACCCCACATAGCAAGGGAGAAAACCTCCAACCACTTGCTGAAAGCAAAACGGAGTCAAAGCAGCCTTAGGATTTTTAACTAGGCCTAGGAAGCAGTAAGACTTAACCAGCCTCGGGGCAAAGTCCATACAAGAGGAGCTGACAGTGCCTGCAGATCCTCAGTCCTCAGATTTTGTCCACTTAAGGGCATACAGCATCTCGTGGAGGGAGCTCTAGAATTAAGAATAATGTCTGTAATCTCTGCCAAGAGACCGGAACACATTTCAACTCTGCTCAGGGGTCACACCCATTAGTTCCAAAATCCTGATGGGGATGTCCAAATCATGCCCCGAACCCAAGTCAACAGGTCGTGACTGAGGGGAACCTCCCAAGGGGGCCGGCCAACAGACTGACCAATTCTGAGTTTTAACCACGCATGAGAGGGCCTAAACGGCACCACCAACAACAGACGTTCACTCTGACCAACCTTACACTGAACAGAATCGTTGGAAGCAAACGGGTCGACTGGAAGACATAAGACTGGTCCTGGCCATTCTTGGGCTTGAGCATCCCCACCCACTTCCGCTCGGCCAAACCTCTGCCATATGAGACTCACCACCTGAGGGTGCAATCTCCATTCTCCAGCCTCCAACTCCGTCTCAAGAGTAAGTCCACTCCTGAGTTCAGGTGACCCAGGACATGAACTGCTCTGATCGACAGGAACCTGGTCTTCATCCAAAGAAGAACATCTCACCAACCTGTACAGGGGGCGAGAGCGTAATCCTCTCTGACAATCCATGTATGGGACCACAGCCGTGTCATCAGTCCTTGACCTAATGTGACAACCACTCAACTGGGTAAGAACCGTTGGGGTGCCAGAAGAAAGCTGCTCCAAACAGTTTGTGTGATTGAGCTAATATCAGCCAATCGTCAAGGTAATGAAAGAATACAGTATTGGTAAGCTTTATTCCAAAAGCAAACCTGAGGAACCTCCTGTGTCTCTTTACGATCTGGATGCAGAAGTACGCATCCTAGATCGATGGTCACAACCAATCTCGGGTTCAGATAGAGACAGAATGAACTTCTACGTCAGCATCTTGAAATTGCTTACTCCAAGCATAAGGTTAGGTGACGCAAATCCAATCAACCCATAGAAGCTGAATGGTGCAACCATACGACAGCCTGATCCTCCCTATGAGGTCCCGAGACACCTGAGTTGCGGGAAAAACCTCTGAAACAGGAACGGATACTAAAATCAGGCATGCCAGCACCAACCACAGAGTGGGGACTTGGATGTCCATATAGACTCTGCACCAATGGCTTTAGGGCTATCCTCTCGATCTCCAAAGCTAAGGCACGAAGAATGGTCAAAATCAGTCCGAACGCAACAAGCAGCGGAACAGCTGATAGAGAGGCAAACACTTGTAGGTTGCCCACGTTCATACACAGTTCCAACTCAATGCAGCAGCGGAGCTGAAAAGAACAGAGTAATTAGTCATGCAAACCCCTGCTTGGTAGCATGAAGCACCCAGCATCTCTAGTGCACAATAATGTTTTATGCTGCAGTCACAATGCAGCCAGTCGTGTGAAGCGAGTGTTGGTAGCAGAAGCACCGCATCAATCACATGAAGTAGGCTGACCATGGTGAGCATTAATAGCTTGCCATAAGAGATACTCTTACACGTGAACTCATTCCCACAGTAGCTCAGCTCAGTGCATCTCAATTGGGATGAGAAGAATAATGATTAGTTATGCAAATAGTGTTGGTAGCCTGAAGTGCCAAAACCATGTTGCACGACAAATGTGTGTTGCAAAACTCCACAGAGCCCGCTCATAGCACAGAGGCCACTATTTGTTCCAGCTCAAAACAGCAGTGGAGCTGAAAGAATAATTATTATTAGCCGGGCAGACTAGAGTTTAGTAGCATGAAGCGCCAAAAACTATAGCGCACGGCAAATGTCAGCTGTGGAGTCCGTGCTTAAAAACAGTCACATGAACAAGAGTTGGAAGCGTAAGCGCCAAATCAATGTACGTGCCCTAATTAATGCAGTGCAGGAGTGGAAACAGGGAACAACCCGCTCACTCCACAGCCCGAGTCACTATGGCATTAGGTGTAAAACAGCTTGCCATAGGAATTTACTCTAGATATGTGAGCGTGCCCTCTGACTTGTTCCAGCTCAAAGCATCAGCGGAGCTGAAAGAAAAATTAACTGCCGGGCAGATTAAGGCATGGTAGCATGAAGCGCCAAGACCATAATGTATGACAAACACCCGCTGCAGAAATCCTAGAGTCCGTTCCTAAAAGCAGTACACAAAATAAGAGCTGGAAGCGTAAGCACCAATTCAATGCACGTGCCTGCATTAGTGTAGTGCGGAAGTAGAGAGAGAGAATGCGGAAGTAGAGAGAGAGAAAGAGAGAGATAGGAAAACCGGTCTGCTCAACTCTACAACCTGAGCCATATAGCTTTAAATGTTAATACAGCTTGCCACTTAATGTTTCAGCTCAGCGCAGCAGCAGAGCTGAAAGAAATACAGGTGCATCTCAATAAATTAGAATGTCATGGAAAAGTTCATTTATTTCAAGTCTTTGGTTACACGTCTGTGTATGGTGGCTCTTGATGCCTTGACCCCAGCCT